AAACACAAAAAGGATTAAAAGCACAAGTTTAACTCAAAAACATAACCAAATCATAAGCTAGAAGGGTAAGAAATAATATACAATTTTGAACCGATCAGTCAGCCCAGGCCGCAGGAAAACAAGAGGAAGGTCGCTGAGCCATCTCAAACGACCATAAAGAGATTTGGTGGTCAGTACGACCGACGGCCGACCAGCAGAGCTGTTTTCAGCCGACTGGGGCCACAAACCCCCAGAACCTCGGTCAGCCTCGAAGAAGAGGCCGCCCCTAGGTCGATAAAAACTTTCAAACCACCGGTCATAAAGGATGACTGTTGGTACCAGGCACGGCCTGGGGGCAGGGCCGAACCGCTGACGAGGACTCAACTGAGGAGAATGTAGAGACAGGTTCAGCAGGCCAGGATGCAGACAACCGAGGCCGAAGGCTTCAAGCGCCAAAAGAAAGTGACGACTGCGGACGGGCCGTCATCCAAATCGGTTGTTTCCCCGGCAGTAAAAACAGCCAGCACCAAGCCTTTGAGGACGTGGCGCCCTAGGCAAGACGAGAATCCCCATGGATCGGCGGCCAACTCAGCTCAGCCAAAGGCCGCGGTCATGGAGAAAACAGACGAAGGTGTCGTCGACATCTACCGCGGGAGGGACCCCCTTTCTCGGCCAACGGTTTGTCCTTTCTCAGGGAATTCCATAAGGACCATTCGGCCACTGAGAACCGTGAAATCGTGGAATTGGCCCTCAAGAATACAAAGGCGGAAGCGCTCGTCATCACCAGCAGTTTTGACTCGGCCAGTAAGCCCGTATATCAGGCAAACAGGGAAGCCAGAGCAAGAGGCCTGCCAAGTTACCAGCTCGACCTCGGTGAATCAGAGGCTAAGATCCCCTTCAGCAGGGGCGATTTAGAATATCTCCGCCAGTACTTTACTGTGACTCCGGCGGACACTGTCTTCGGCCTGACGACTGAGGAAAAGGGCCGGGTAAGCCGTCTAGACGATTACCTAACGGCCAGGGACGCATTGGCAAAGGCTAGACGGGCCCTCAAGGAGGAGGTCGAAGCCTCGGACCCCCCTGAGATCAAAGCATCCACGACCGGTAGCCCGGGGACCGCGAGACCTATGATCGAAGGTTTCGGTGATCCTTTTTTCGGGCACGAGGCCGAAGATGGCCCCGCTTTAGGAATCTCCGATGAGGAATATGAGGGGATCCTCGGGATGATCGAGGAAACGGTTCTCGCCAAGGACGGCTCTGAGGCCGAAGAAAAAGCCGGTAGGGGAAACCCGCGAGAACAGGAGGAAGTCGGCATCAACATGGTCATGGTGCTACCATCCGAGTTTTCAGCCCCAGGGGGACAGACCAACGGCCTAGAGGATGACGTGGCCGAGGAGCAGTTAGATCTAAGGCCAAAGACAAAAGAAGAATTGTTGGCCGTAGCGTTTAACGAGGTGATACCAAGAGACGAGCCGAACAAATACCGGCACTTGAAGCCGTTGTACATCTCGGCTCACATAGAGGGTGTGCCCATATCCAAGGTTTTCGTTGACTGTGGGGCGACGGTCAACATCCTTCCTTATTCCTTGATGAGGAAGCTAGACAAGTCAAAGGAGGACCTCATCCCCAGCGACGTGGTCATGAGCAGCTTTGTCGGCGACAAGTCTAAGACTATTGGTGTATTGCCGTTGAAGATTACCGTGGCCGACCAGACAAGGGTCGCGGCCTTCTACGTGGTTGAATCCAGCGTCGACTACAACATACTGCTCGGCCGTGATTGGATCCATCAGTCTGGGTGTATACCGTCCTCTCTCTTCCAGCTATTATTCTTTTAGGACGGCCAGAAGGTGTCTATACACCAGGCCGATGAAAAGCCTTTCGAGGCCAACGCCGTACAAGCTCAGATCTACGACGATGACGTTGGATGGGTTGTTCTCACCGGCCACGATGCAAACGGCCGACCAACTAGAACAACGGCCCAGAAAGTGCTGGAGTTAGGCGCCGAGAATGTCCGACAGGATTCGGCGCGCGAAGTATTGATCGACCTCACTAGCTTTTAGATGACAGACAAAGCCACTAAAGAAGAAGGAGCGGCGGCCGTGACCGACCTGCTGGAACGACTACTGGAACATTGGGCGGGGGAATCCCTACGGCCAAATTCACCGATCAATCTAATCGAGTTCCTCCACGAATCAAATGAGGCGGACGCTTTGACCCTCGACGACTTGGAAACGGCGCCCGCCGAGATGGAGGATGATTACCCTGAGGCCCAGGACCCTCTTGGTAGAAAGACTGCTGGAACATTGGGCGGAGGAATCCTTACGGCCAAATTCACCAATCAACCTGATCGAATTCCTCCACGAATCGGACGATACGGACGCTTTGACTCTGGACGACCTAGAAACGGCGCCTGCCGAGATGGAGGATGACTACCCTGAAGTCCAGGACCCTTTGTTAGAAATAAATGTAGGGTCGGAGGCCGAACCACGGCCTCTTTTTGTAAGGAATCTTTTGGATCCTAAGTTAGCGGCCGAGGTTATCGGCCTGCTCCATGAATATAAGGATTATTTTGCTTGGGATTATCACGAGATGCCTGGGTTGCCGAGAAGTTTGGTCGAACACGAATTGAGAATCAAGGATGGGTTCAAGCCTTTCCAGCAGCCGCCAAGGCGTTTCTCGATCGAGGTACAGCTCAGGGTCAAGGAGGAAATAGAACGGCTCCTTAAGGCCGGCTTCATCCGAACAGCCCGGTACGTTGAGTGGCTAGCCAACAT